AACATCCTTAATGTGCTTGACTGTTTGTCCTGATTACAAGTATTGATTCAGGATCATTGGCCTTAACCTGTGAATACCTTAGTCCAAAAATTGTGCATTTCTTCACTGTTGTAAGCTTTGAAATCAGTAAGGCGTAGTTCTTTTTCACCCTTACTCAAAATGCCTAGTTCCTAAAGGCTGTTCTTGCAACATTGCAGGACAAATTATTCAATATGCTGAGCTTGAGTTTGTTGGCTATGCACACACTGGAGGGGAGTAGCTGTGGTTTTGTATTTGCACCTCTACTGTGCCTCTTGCATCTAAAACCCTTTCCCCGGTTGACTAGGTGTCTTTGCAGGAATGACTTGATCTGAGACATGGAGCTTACGTAACATGAATTACAGTGCCTTTGGCATTGTCTTTTTCAGGAAGGCAAGAATGCCTGACACCTCCCATTTTCTTTATCAATGTTTTTTTGACCATTTTCAGGCTTAAGGCTTTTGTTTCACTGCCCAGTGTCATTCCAAGACTAATGTTCACATAGTTACTGGAATGATTCAATTCTAGACAGTGTTCTTAGCATCTTTTCCAGTACTTAAATCATCATAGGATTCTGTGTTAATGGACAGCGTTGTAGCAAGTTACTAAATGAGGGACAAAATGGAATATACTCATTCCTTCTATTCTGAGAAGTAATTGGAACAGTTACTGTTCATTCGTAAATCATGTGGAACTCAACACCGGTTGACAGATTTGTTGTAGAGTTTTGAGGCAAAGGGTTTGTGGGTATCAGAAGTCTATTATATATAAACAACGTCTTATAACTATGTTTAGTAAAAAGTGCACTCCTATGCCATTTAAAAATAAGTTTTAACTGCCTGATATTTACAGGCTGGTGCCTAATTTTGCCTTCATGTCATCAAAGTCTCTCATGAAGGGGGAGCTGGAACTTGTTCAGGGGAAAAAAAAAAAAACAAACCAGTGTTTTGAGGAATTAATTTTCCTGAAAAGGTGTTTTCTGAACTGAAAAGATAGTGGTTTAAGAAAAACATATATATGTGACTGAGTACTAGAATTCCTGAAGTCTTAATGTTTTTTTTCTCTGTTTATTTTAACAAAAAAGGACACTTCAGCACCTTTAGTGTTGGTGTTACCTTATGAGTAAACATCTTTGTATAAGAAAAGCATAAAAAGCTTTGCAGTTATGTGTTTAGTGGTAAAGAATATATAATCTTTGTAGACATAATATTTTTGTTCTCTTTGCTTCTCAGCCAACCAGGAAGTCTTAAATAAAGTAGAGGTTCAGTATGAGACACTCCCAGGATGGGATACGGACATATCAAATGCAAGGACGTTTGATGAGCTGCCTGTAAATGCACAAAATTATGTTCGCTTTATAGAAATGGAGTTGGGTGTTCCTGGTAAGTAAAACAGATTTTGTTGTTTTGGTGTTTTCCTGCTCCATGAGACCTATCTTGTACTTCGCCTTAATGAAGATTTAAAATATCAAAAACTAGTTTGTAGCTGTGCTTATTCTGATGTACCTGGTGATACTTGTAACTATTGTTTTACTTCTTTTCATCTTACCTATTTAGCTGTTGAATTGAAAATTTTCAAAAGTTTTAATATGCATTCTTTCTTTGGCTTATATTACAGTTCTTGTTCAACTGAAGTTTTTATAACTTGCTTAAGTATTTTTTTGATTGGTTATAATAGGGGTTTAGTTCTGCTGCTATTATAAAGTCAGTAGGACTACTGGTATATTAATGCAATTAAATATAATTGATGGTAAGAGGTCCTAAACTAACAAATTTCTCTTATGCTCCCTAATAAAGATCATAGAATCACAGAATGGTTTGGGTTGGAGGGGATCTTAAAGACCATCTATCTCCAACCCCTCTGCCATGGGCAGGGACACCTTCCACCAGACCAGGTTGGTCAAAGCCCCGTCCAGCCTGGCCTGAACACTGCCAGGGAGGGGGCAGCCACAGCTTCTCTGGGCAACCTGTTCCAGTGCCTCACCACCATCACAGTAAAGAATTTCTTCCTTATATCTAAATCTACCCTCTGTCAGTTTAAAACCACTGCCCCATATCCTATCACTACAGTCCATGATAAGGAGTCCCTCACCACCTTTCCTGTAGCCCCCTTTAAGTACTGAGAGGCTGCTATAAGTTCTTCCCAGAGCCTTCTCTTCTCCAGGCTGAACAACCCTAACTCTCAGCTTGTCAGATGATCCTGTGGTTCCATCCAAAGCTGGGGATGGAGTGATGATGCAAATCTTTACTTTTCTGACAGTTTCTTATGTATCCTTTTTCCAGTGATCTGGAAAACTGATCTACTTATTATGGCAGCTTCAGGACTATTCCTGCTTTTCTGAGTTACCAATGCATTCTTACTTTGAGAACAGTAGACATAGTTATAATTTCTTAATGTACGAATAGTATATGCTGTGTTTTTCTTCAGAGTGTGGTACTTAAGATCTTAAGCACTTAAGAAGATAAGATACAAAAAGTTACAATCCAGTCTTGCTTTGTATTACTTATAATAAAAGTTTGCTTTTCTCTCCTGCAGTTAAATGGATTGGAGTAGGGAAATCCAGGGAATCAATGATCCAGCTGTTTTAAAGATTTCAGATGCATGGAAGAAAGCACACTCCTCAAAAGACTGCTCATTCTTAAATGCATTAGTAGCCCGCAAAGCAAAGATGTTGGAAAGATAGATTTTTGCATGGAAAGAAATGCTAGAGTTGATACCCCCAAATCAATCGCTACTCCTGAAAGAGACTTTAACATGAACCTCTATCAGTTCTTGTTCAACTGCAATTTCCAGGACACTTGTCATTGTTGTTCAAGGTGCCATCAGATTTTTTTTTCTTTACCTAATATTTACTTCATAATGTAATTCCTGTTTGAAAATCTAAGGTAGCATTACTTTCATGACTGTTTGTCTTTGTTATCTTCTCTCTGCTTTTGGCGGTGTTACTTCCCTGAAATTTTAGACAGTAAAAATAATGCAGTTTTGCACAGATAGTTTTACATCCTCATTATTTGTATTCCTAAAGCTGTTGTATTCTTAATGGCTGCTCTTGTGAGTAATTAAAGAGGGGGATTCTGATTTTATAATGCTATAAATGCTGTCTAAATTATTGTGTGATCTGTTTTTTAAAAAAAAAAGATGTGATGCCAAGTTGTTAAGAATGTCCAGGTTTTTTTAGCTGTATAACACAGAAAACTTACTCTTTGTAACTCACAGAGGACACTCAAGTGTTTACCAGGAAGTGTGCCCAGAAAGTTAGAAAATTGATATTGTAAAAAGTTCATTTGCAATTATTAAAGAACTGTTCTGATTTTGAGTTATATGTTTTATAATGCAACTCTTTTTTTTCCCTGTATTTTAAAAACCCTGTACTTCTCTACTTCCCATGCACATATCTCAAACTGTTTCCCCAGTTAAATGAGGTTATATTTATATTTGGTGAGAAGTCTAACATTTTGATGCCCTTTTAAATTCCTTTCTATATAGTCTATAGAAAATCTTTCTCTGGAGAACTGGCAAAGCACAGACACTTTTGCAATTATAGATTGAAGATGCTTTAGAAATAACATTTAAAGTATTCAGTGTATTTGCTTTAGATGTAGGGAAAATAACAAGTATTCACCTCAAGGCATCTAACATTTTGGCTTATTAGTGTTGGGGAATGTTCTAGAATTTTTAAAATTTATAACCAGGATTATATATTCTAAGGAATCTGATTTCTTTTGACACCAACCCAATGATTGCATATTCCCTTCCCAGATTTTTTGAGAATGAGTTTGGTTTTATACACTATACTGTGGTATGCATGTGTTTCCTTTTAACTTAAAATAAAACTTACTTTGTTTCCTAAAAATAAGTTTGTATCAAGGTGGGGCAATAGTTTTAGATTTAGTTTAGTAGATTTTGGCTATGCAGATGAATATAAAATACAAGGCCTTCCAGATTATATTTTGGGTGACCAGATGCTTCCTGAAATGGAATAGATTTGTTGGATTGATGCTGCTGTTGAGGTGTTCAGCACAGTGTTTATGTTTTCAATTGGCATAAAATTGTTTATCATAAGGGGAGGAAGAGGAGGGTTGAAGAATTAAACTACTGATATTTAAGGAGCATTTTCTATTGAATTGTTTGCATTTCACAGCAGTTAGCAGGGTGTGTACTTTAGTTGTGTAACATGGAAAGAGAAGAATACCACAGAATGCCGGAAAATGGACAGATGTATCAAGACACTTTTGTATCAGCATTGCATGTAAAGATCATTCTCCTCAGCATTAAAAACCATACAACTTCATACTCAGTTTTTCTGAAGGGGATGAGGGGTCTAGTTTTGCTGTCAGCATCGCAGTCCAGGAGAGAACCATACCATCCCTCTCTAGCTAAGGGACATCTTGAATTAAAAATCTCTGCCTAATTCCCTGATGAAGAGAAGGAAGGATGTAACTGTGTAAAACAAATTCTGATGTTCATTCAGAAGGAAAAAAAAATACTGCTATTCTCTAGGTGATAGAGGGAATTGCCCTTGCAATGTGAACAATAGGTAATAATTACTAAGTACTTGTGATTTCCTGTAGCTGTAGGAGGCACCAAGGGTATCTGTGCTGTCAGTGAAACTGCCAGCCAAGGACTGGGGGCCTAGCTGGTTCAAGGAGTGAGTAAATAAATAAATGAAGGCATGCTTTCCTTCTACAGGGAGTGAATAAATGAGGGCTTACAAGGTATTGTGTTTCACTTCTGCCAAGCAGAGACCTCCAAGTTCAAGCAAGGCCTGTTTCAATTCTTCCACTGTTGTAACTCCACTGTACAAACTACCCTTGTTTTTCAGTTGAGGAATTCATATTCCCAGGTATAGCTATAGCCTAAAGTGATACAAAGTATTTATGTAGTTAAAAAAACAAAACAGAATTGTCTTGGACTGCAAGAGTAATTTATATTCTTTTTGCTTTCTTTTAAGTTCTGATGGGATTTTTCTTTGACTTTTCCACTCAAGTGCAGGCCTGAAAAGTTGAGAACATCTTTCTACCAGTACTTGTCCAGATAATATGTGGTCCAGGATCTTTTGGTGTATATTTACTCTCATGACCTGGAACTAAGAATTTTTCTCTTTAAATATCAAGTGTTTTAACTTGGCATCTGTGAAGCTTATTACATTGTCCCTGAATGCCAGTTTTGCCTAAGTGTTTCTGGAGTGAATTCTAGGACTGATGCACAAACGCTTTGCTGGTGTTATAGAATGGTTATATCCTACCAAATTTCCCCTTCCACCAACGCTACTTTTTCTACCCCGATTTCATTTGTACATGTGGAGATATAGGCTAGGATGTGTTATCACCAGCCTGAATGTTGGGGAAAGAAATATTAAAAGTTACAGAGGTTGTTGAGGAAGAAGAGAACAGCAGTCTAATACTCTACATCCAGCAGTGTGTTTAGTAGGGGCATAGTTAAATGTCTTTTAAGGCACTTGTAATTTTTTCTGTAGCCAAAAAACTCACTGTTCTGCTTTTTTCCCCTTTCATTGGTTAAGAGCCCTTTGGCCTCGAAGGAATTGCCACACTCATTGGCAAAATGCTTTTGGCTGTCTGTTCACAGGCTAGTGGTAAGCTATAGTAAAAGGAAAAACCTTTGTACTTCAATGACAAGCATGTATTTCTCAGGCCCTTCCTGTATACTCCCTTCCTCTCTGAAGTCTCTTCTGTTGCAGGCATGTAAGGGGAGAGGATAGCAGCATAGGAGAGTAGTTGAAATTGATTCTCCTCCAAGTATCCCCTCCCACTAATGGGATGTTTTCAGGAGGCACAAATACCTGTTAGACCTGACAAGGCTGATGGCAGACAAGGTATTTTGATCTCGTGCCATTCTTGCTGCCACTGAAATATTTACAAGGTTGATTCTCCTAGGCTTGTGCTGTACTGCAGCATTTAATAGCCTTTATGTCCCTACAGTTTAGTGAGCCTCCTTTACTAACTAAATAGGAGGGGAAGTGAGGGATACTTCTGCTGCTTAGCCTTTCCATTTGTTTTGCACATGTAATTGGGTTTTGGCATGCAGCTAATGGACAAAACCTTCAGATAAAGTGGCAGACAGATAATGCTGATGTAATGCATGGCAGCTGCTTTCGTCTATCATCATCCTGGAAATCTACTTTCTAATAGAAGATCATAGTTTCCTTTTGCTGTCACAGCCAGCTCCCTTAATGAAACATAATCAAAGGTTTGGCTGGTTTCAAGAAAGTAAAGAACAAAGTAGCTGGGAATGAAGATAAGGGACAACTCAATCTGGTGAGTTTTCTCCTGCCCATATTGCTCCTAGTCTCTGAAACAGTGAAACTTAATAAACCTACTGGTACAGTTAATCAAGCACACTTCTTCTGGTGCATGACAGCTTTATCTACTTAAGGCAGACTGCTGTGCATACATACATACACACAGATGATGCATTATTTGCAGAGACAAAATTTTACACTGTTCTTTGAGTGTTACAACTTATCTGACGTGTCATGTTTAAAATACCTTGCAATAAATACACATTCAAATATCTTCTCTTCAGCTTTAAACAGGTAACGTTGAGTTAAATCCTAATGTTCTTCACTGCCACTTTAGAACTAATAAATCAAACTTAAAGCAATGTATTTTCTTACAGTATGCAATTTTTTTTTAGTGATGAATCAATGTGTGCATACATCTAGGTACTTTTTAGCTCAATACACACTACTGGCATTATCTACAGTGTGTTTGAGTAACTATTTTTAGATAATAATCTGCACAAGTACAAGCACTTTGCCTTGTTCTCATTCCTTGGTTGTCTTGTGTATATTACAGAGGGAACTGGAATATCTGAGTGTTGGTAGTGGAGAGAGGGTATGGCTTTGGGGGACAGGTGGCAGCTCTATTTTGGAAAAAGTGGGATGGCTATTCACTTTTTTCTCCATGCAGTTTAGGACTAGTTTGTTTACAGCAGAGCGAACCTCCCTAGTTGATCTTCTGTGCCCCTCTCAACAGGAAAACCAATGTGGATTTCTTATTTGTGTTGAGATATGACAAGTCAAATGCTGCTTTGTGAAAAGTTTGATTATACCAGTCACTGGTGGTCTTTTTCATTATTATTTTGAAAATGCATATACTTCCTGAGAACTGAATTGTCAGACTCAGGTTGGAATGGAGTTTCAGCTTCGTAGTTTACTGAAGCTGGTTGCAGTTTACTGAAAGGTCTAGGCAAAAACATAAATCATTCTGTAATCTCATGCTGACATATGGTATGTAAATACCATGATCCACCCAAAGGGTAGCCAGCATTATAAATGTACTTTCTAATCTCCTGCTGAAATGAGTACTCAGTATAATGCAGCTGTAATCTGATAGATATTAACAGCCTGAGAATGTGCAGTAAAACCTTAATAATTCAGTATTGTTTGATTGGCTCCATCTGACTTGTAATTAGCACGATAAGGGTTGTGCCTCTTGCAGTCGAGCAACTAGCTGCATTAGTTTAATTTTTTTTTTTTTTTTTTACAACAATTTCCATTCTAGATTCTCAAATACATAATAAATTCAGGTCATGCAGCACTCCTGGTATGGCCAAAATATTTTGGATGCAGTTTTGGTTTACTCTGTCTGGATTCTCTTGTTGTTCCTCTTCTAGGCCAAAGTAATAAAAAATCATTCGAAGTTGTTGCAACATTGCCCACAGTTGGTTTGTTCCACGGGTCTTACAGGTTTACTTGGACACACAAGCTTACCCTGGAGCTCCTCTGGCTGCAGGTGCCTTGTGGAACCCTCCTAGTTGCCCAGGATAGAAACCACAGACATCCTTTCCAGGATGAACACCTGAGCTGATGAAGCAAGCAAATAGAAGATAGTGAAGGTACAAGTAGGAGACCAGAGAGCAGGAATCCCGCCCAAGCTGTGGAAAAGCAATTGTTTTTATATGACAGTTGTGAAAAAGAAATATTTTTGTCCCAGTACAGAATTTACAAATGAATAAGGGAATAACATTGATAACAAGACAAAATCTTGTGAGTTTGTGCAGATGAAGGCATATTTTTTTTTTTTTAAAAAAAGACAAAATCTGGGCAGAATTCCCCCCCCCCCAAATGCTAAGAGTCTTGAGCAGATTTTTTTATACAATTAACTGATAACCTGGCCTGTGCACATAATGTGTGTTGTGTGGTTCAAGAGGCTTACCCTGGTTGCAGGATGGGTGCAGGATCTATAAACTCCCTTATAAGCCCCTTTGCGGAGTACGACATGCCAAATTCCTACAAACAATGATGTAAAATTTTGTTTTGTTTTGTTAAGGAGCTGCTGCTGGACCTAAAATTACTTGTTTACATGGCTTGAATGTATTAATCTCCATTTTGGTAACAATATCCACTATGGAATAGCATACCTACCTATTAGGAACCCCCCAGGAAGAAAAGAACCAACGTACGCACATAAAACTAAAGGTTTTACAAAACGTTAAATTTTGCAGAGCTGTGGGAATTTTTAGGCAGACTGATTCATTATATCAGTGGGTCTGATGGTCTGCTCGTTTGTCACAATTAAGTAATAATTTATTCTACCTCCCAAGGAATTAAATTTGGCTGCTGTGTATAAAACAGTGACTCACCAGTATTTGGAAAACAAAGTAGATGTTTTCTGTATTTTGTTGCCCATCAGAGTTGGTGAATTATGTTTGGGCCAATCCATGGCAACTACTTCACCGGAGTGTGAATTAATATTGCAGCTCCAGGAGTTTGATGATAAAATTGGTTCTCACCAGAGATCTTAGTCAGACTATTGTTTTGAATAGTATCATGACACAGCCATCCTAGAAACTCCTTGAATGCATCCACAGTTTGATGGTTTTTTTCCTAAAACTAAGACCGTTGCTTCTTCCACTTAGTTGTAGAGCATGATGTAAAAACTCCTCATCCAATTCAGTCTACAAAAGAATGTATTTTCATGCTTTAGATAATTTCAGTCAATCTTGGAAAATGTAGCTATACAACATACAAAAGTGACAACTCCAACACTCACACACAATATGAGCTGTTGAGAATCACTGTTATATTTACCAACATTTCCATATCCCTGTCAGCCAGTTCTGCACAACTGTTGTCCTCATCATAGTCAGCAGCACCAACAGAGATTCCTCTCCTCTCCCCAACTCCTCCCCGGGGGTGATTCTTCTCCAGTTTTACCCTTAGTGTGGCTTCAGTGGGAAGCGTTCCTCATCCCTCATCTTTGGGAAATGGGGGGATGTTGCCTCTTCCTTCTTCCAGCAGCAATCATGTATTCAGGTTGCCAATCCAGCTACCTGAGATAGTGCCAATAGTTACTGTGTCTACCACAGAATTGACAAGCTTTCTTCCAAACCTGGGGTTGCTTACCTGTCTCCGGGTGTACACTTCAAAGGCCCTCATTGTCAGAATTTATCCTCCATCCTGGATACATCCAGGAGTATTTTTTAAATTTCCCATTTGAATGCCTAAGTTACAGCTTTCTCTTGTAACTTTGCACATAAAACTTTAGTTACAAGTCTCAGAAGCTTTTGAGACCTGATGTATTAAAAAAACTTATTGTGTTGTGAACTAAAGTGGCTTTGGTCTTAACAGACAAGGAATGTAAAGCCCAGTAGGAAGGAGAGAGTCTAAGATGGATGTTAAATGGTTAATGTAGGGGCCTGCAGGCAGTCTGACAGACAAGGGAAAGTAGTATATCCAAATGCTACAGCCATACAATTGAAATTACAGGGCCATCTGTAATGTACCTGCTCATGCTAAATAATAATAATAATCCATTAAAAAATATTCTAATCTTGGTTTTGAAGCTTATCAAACTTAACACACTGAAGAAAGATTCTTTTTCCAGGATGAAATCCATTCTGCTTTTGAAAACCGAGGAAGCCCACAGCAATAAAGTTTATTCAACTGCGTGGTTCCTGGTTCATGCAGTGGGGTTACAGACTTAGATAAATCATGGAATAAAGATCAGGAAAGGCAAAGCTTGCAGGCACAGCCGTGGCGGCCGTCTGCCTGAGCTCCTTTTCCCTTACTAAGCTGCTGCAAGCAAGTCCCTCTACCTCACAAAGCCTGGCTTTGCGGTGGTGCCTCCTTCCCCTACTGGCATTGGAAGGGGCGTGCCCCTCAGCCTTGGGGCACTGGGAGCAGTCCCACCAGTGTCAGCCTTGAGAGTGCATTTTTGAGGGCTGTTTGAGCCAATTTACTAGCAATGTTGCAGTTGATTATACACACATCTAAAATGGTGGTGTACTGAAGGTGTAAGGAGACCAAGAGCTAGACAGGGGAGGGGAGAAGCTAATCTATTGGCAAATCACTTGGAGACTTGTGCCCCTGCACATCTGAGCTACCATCCTGAGTGCTGCTGCACTTTGGTAAATTAGTGTCTGCTAGTCCTCAGGTTGCATTCTCCTCAGGTTACTCCTAGATGTAGGAGTATCTCTGGACAGTGGTGAAGTTTAAAGAAGGAAGTCAATGGGTGAGAAAGAAAAAAGATCTGACACAGGAGGGAGTCCAGGGTTGGGTCTTTAATGGTAAACCTTTTTCTGATGTCGTATTGGACATGCTCTCCCATACATCTTACTTGCTGTAGACAGAAGGTAAAGCTTTAACCTTTCTGGAATTAGAAATGTAGGCGTAATTTGAGTCTGGATTTTTTTGTGCACCCTTCTGTCATATGAGCTATGAACTACATCTCAGCACCAAAAGAGGTAGACTTCAGGAAGGAAGAGGTAGGGCAGGGAAGAAGGAAGAGTTTTGTTTGCTTCTGAGACACAGACGCCTGGAGCCAGGAGGGACTGCGAGGGGCCTCAAGTCAGTGGGGCCTGGGATGGGAGGAAAGTTCTGCCTTTGGTGATCCAGACACTTGCCTAACCTCTTATCCTGAGACTTCACAGCCTCCCTGATGATCTGCTCCAGCGTTTCACCCTTAGAAAGTTTCTTCTACCATCCCCTCAGATCCCTCCTGCTGCAATTTAAGCTTTCTGTTTGGTGGTCTGTTTGCTATGGACAGGGAGGACGGATTATTCCCTTTTTCTCTGCAGCAATGTTTTGGGTATTTGCTACATCCCTGTTGTTTTTTCCTCAGGCTGATCAATTCTCTGAAGCTCTGCTTGGAGGTAATTTTTAGATATCTCCAAGGCTGTTTGGGTTTTTTTCTCTGTCACTGGGGAGTTGGGACCTGAAAATGGTCACAGTTTGTTCACTGATGTCTGCAGTGCTGAGTGGAAATGATGGATGACATCATGTGTCTTGCATCAGGAAATCTACTTTTGTTCTAGTTTTTTCCCATGGCATAGCTTTGCTGATTCATATTTCGGCCCATTTTGCTTTTGTTCTATTGATATTTTTTTTGCTTACACGTAGAAACTTGCCCACAGCCTTACTGCATTGCAGCCTATTTTTCTCAGACCATTTCTCCAATTTGTTAAAATATTTTTGAACTGTTTTCTAATGTACTTTCAGTTCCTCTCAGCTTTGCATCACCTGCACATTTATTAAATAACTCTGACCCATCGCTGACTTCACCAATGAAAAATTTGAATTGTATGGAAGCAGGACTGTTCAGTGAATAAGTTTTGCTGGTTTGATGGTGAACCACTTCCCAGGGTGTGATATTTTTTTTCCCCCTAACCAATTCTGCACCTACCTCAAAGCAGTTTTATCTAGACCACATTCCTTCATTTGCTTATGAAAACATCTTGCAAGTCTGAACACATCACCGTTTGAGCTGATACCAGCAGCTTGCTAATGCTGTCAAGAAAACATCCTAATCTTCACCTTGCGGTTGCTGAGCCTTGTGCCAAACCAGTTTGCCTTGCTAAATAGGCAGAAAATGAACCAGTGAAAAATAAGCAAAGAGGTGCCTGTGGGTTCAGCGAGTTGACTTGGCCCAGCAGAGTCCCGGGAGCAGTAGAGGTGCTACCAGGGAGGGGATGAGACTCAAAACCACAACACATAACTTCACACTGAGCCAGCGTCAGGGCCTTGCCGAAGCCTGGAGGTGGTGTTTGCTGCTTCCCATGAGGAGCAAGGTTGAGTTTGCCTGTTGAATAAAGAATTGGGAGGCAAATAAAAACAATGTTTTCATTAATTTCTAGCTATTTGTAACTTAATCACAACTAACGATTAAGTCTAAGGTGATTTTAGGTAATCTTCTTTAATCAGGTGATTTTTTTTGTGCTGCTTTTTTGCGTGGGAACACCCTGAACATACTTGTTTAATCAACCACATTATTCATTAATTAATATGGGTGACAACTCTGTGTACTGAATCACTGAAAAGTAATTCCAAAAAAGGACATACATGTCTCACACATGTTCTCTCCCACCTCGGTATACAGCTGCCTCCGCAGCAGGATGGAAAGATGGGTTTTCTCCACATTGACCACCCCACTCGCTCCAGGCCCTGGCCAACTCTGCAGGAGCACAGCTCAACTCTCATTGGATTCAGTCTTGACATTTTGCAACCCTTCTGTCTTCCCGTTTTCTCCCCTCTGACAAAATTTTGTCAACCAGGTGATCTTGATACAGGCGGAGACGTATCTTGATTGATTGTATCAAGACGTATCTTGATACAGGGAAGAGCAGCCTGCAAGCGCTGGGGCTGCACAGGAGACTAGAGGCAGAAGGTGACAGTGGCAGAGGGCATGTCCCTGAGCTGGCCCTGGGCTTTGCTGTGTTGGTGATTTAGGAGAGAAAGAGCAATTTACAAATTCAGCACAGTCAGTAAGAGAGAAAATTAGGCACAGTAAATAAAGAAACCTGCAAAGTTATTTTTATAGTCATTCTTGAGGACAGAGCTGGAATTTAAAAGCCTCTTAGCTGCGACACTGGTCCTGCTTACAGCTGTGGTCTGTGCCAAATAGCAGGTGAGTGGGAGATTTCATTCCTTATTGCAAGAAAATCAACTCATTCCTATTATCTTTTTATTTTTTAAATAAAGGATTGAGAAGATTAGCCTCTTTCCTGTCAGCTTAGCCAGAATAGTTTCCCAATGCTGCACTAGCTCACACTAAACATTTCCCTTCAGATGCTGTCCTCCTGCAAAGGCTTTTCAAAGGGACATAGCTGCAGACCTGAACTTTGCTGGCAAGCCAGAAGTGAGCACCTTTGCCACCTGAGAGCTGCTGTTCCAGTCCAGCACTGGGCAGCTTGCTGCTTGCTGGGAGACAAAGGGAGCCACATCTGAGCTGTGCTGAGGCTGCACTTGCAGGAAGAAACCTAACGATTCTTATTTACCAAATTGACAAAATCCTATCATTGCAATTAAGGGGATATGTAATTAACTGTGTCTTAATTACAGCAGCTGCCACTTCATCTGAATGCAGCAATTTACAGAGAAACTGGGGGAGATGCTTTAAATTCGTGTGTGTAAACAGCGCAAGCACAAACAGCGCAGCGTGTGTGACTCCTGGGGGTGCGATGGCCTGTCCCTGGGGGGCACGGGGTGAAAGAGAAGGCTCACTGGCTGCCGGCCTGCCTGGCCGGGATGGCCTCTGGAAATGTCTGCAGGAGGCAAGAGGGCTTTTGAAAGCCCCACTATGAACCTATTGCCCAGGGGTTTTCAGGTGCTTTGCTCCACCTCAGCTTGCCAAGCTGCAGAGCTGAATGTTGCCCAATGCCACAAATACCTGACAGAAATGTTTTTAAAGAGCTTCTTACCCCTGACTCCCAGCCTCTGTAGGAGTGCAAGCCCCCGTTGCGTGTGCCGAGGTGTACTGGGTGTGATTCATTTCCCTTGGTCTCTTGCCCTGCGCTTTCATGGCTTCATCACTCTGGGCTGGCAGGAGCAAACTGTGCAAAGGGGCAGCGGTAGCACACGCTCTGCCAGCCTGTTTCCTTTCTGTCCCCCCACCGGCTGTGCTGCTGAGGACCAGGCAGACCCTGTGCAGCTGCTGCAGGTCTCCATTATATTTTCAAAGGGTTTGCACCCTTTGCTGCTGCAGCCTTCCCCAGCATACGTGAGTCATTTCCTGAGAGCTGCTGCAGACTTCCAAGTTTTCCCTCCTGAGGTACCCAGAAGGTCATGGTGTTTGTGGATACACTTGGGTACAAAACACCCGGGTTTCACCACCTTTCCAGCCTGCCACAGTGGTTCCCTCCCCTCCTTCCTGCCTGTAACTTGGTGATTGGCTGTGCTGGTTTAGGGTAGAGAGTTGTGATGGGATGGACATGGTTTTCCATACCTGGAGAGGCAGCTTGAGGTTCCCTGTTCCTCTAAGGCAAGACCCATGGGTGCTTAGTAGGTAGGAAGAGGGTGCTGGTTCACCAAGACCTCCTGCCAGATGTGCTGCCCAACAGCAACTCCTCCTGGAGCTCATGCTGAGGACCGCATCATCCCTCTGTGCCTCAACTTACCCACCGGTAACAGGCTCAGAGAACTCACTTGACCTCAGCATGCAG